AGGGAGGAGCTGGCAAACTTATAAGACCAGAGACAGCATTTTCCAGTGGGCAGAAAAAAGTCATTGTGAAGAAAATCATTGTTCTTCGGATCTTTCTAAAATGAGGCACAGCCGCTCTCTAGTTAGTATTTTCACTGGCTTACAAGAAAGATAAATCACCGACAACTTCTCACTAGAATATGTGGTGATTATAAAACCCTAGACTGGCAAATTCCCTCATCTGTGAAATGCTCTTCCCCAGAGAGCTCTAGAGCATGGCAGAAATCCAGCAATCTGAGATGGGCTAGAAGTGACAACTAGGTTCTCTGCTCTGCCACCTTTCTCTCATGGGGAGAGCTTATTGAGTCAAAATGTCATCTGAATCGATTTTGTATCCTGCAACTTTACTGTATTTGTTTATTGTTTCTGATAATTTTTGGTGGTCTTTAGGGTTTTCTATATATAGAATCATGTCATCCACAAAAAAGTGAGTTTTACTTCTTCCTTCCCAATTTGGATGCCTTTTATTTCTTTCTCTTGCCTATTGCTCTGGCTAGGGTTTCCAGAACTCTGTTGAATAAGTGTGGTGAGAGTGGACAAAGCAATCCTGAGAAAAAAGAATGAAGCTGGAGGTATCAAGCTACCTGACTTCAAATTATACTATAGAGCTACGATAATCAAAACAGCATGGTATTGGAACAGAAACAGACACACAGATCAGTGGAACAGAATAGAGAGCCCAGATATAAAACCACATGTAAATGGGCAAATAATTTTCGACACAGAAGCCAGAAACACACAATGGAGTAAAGATAATCTCTTCAATAAATGGTGCTGGGAAAACTGGAAAGCCACATGCAAAAGAATGAAACTGGTTACAGTTTGTCCCCATGTGCAAAAATTAACTCAAAATGGATCAAAGACCTAAATGTGAGACCCAAAACAATGTTACATAGAAGAAGACATAGGTACCAAACTTATGGACCTTCATTTTATGAACTTGACCCCAAAGGCAAGGGAAGCAAAGGCAAAAAATAAATGAATGGGACTATATCAAACTAAAAAGCTTCTGCACAGCAAAAGAAACTGACAGCAAAACAAAGAGTCAGCCAACCAGATGGGAGATGATATTTGCAAACAGTAGCTCCGACAAAGGTTTAATTTCCAAAATATATAAAGGACTCATAAAACTCAACACCAAACAAACAACCCAATCAAACAGTGTTCAGAGGACCTGAACAGACATCTCTCCCAAGAAGACATACAAACAGCCAATAGATATATGAAAAGATGTTCGACCTCACTAGCAATTAGGGAAATGCAAATCAAAACTACAATGAGGTACCACGTCACACCTGTTAGAGTGGCTATTATCAACAAGACAAACAATAAAAAGTGTTGGAGAGTTTGTGGAGAAAAGGGAACCCTCATTCACTGCTGGTGAGAATGTAGACTTGTCACTATGGAAAGCAGTCTGGCGATTCCTCAAAAAATTAAGAATAGAGCTACCATACAACCCAGCAATCCCTCTTCTGGGTATATACCCAAAAAACTCAAAAACGTGTACTCTCAAAGATATATGCACCCCTATGTCCATTGCAACATTATTCATGGTGGCCAAGACATGGAAACAGCCAAAGTATTCTGCAATAGAGGACTGGATAAAGAAGATGTGGTACGTAGACACAATGAAATACTACTCAGCCATAAGAAAGAATGAAATACTGCCATTTATAACAACATGATGGACCTTGAGAATATTACGCTAAGTGAAATAAGTCAGTCAGAAAAAGCTAAGAACCATATGATTTCACTCACATGTAGGATA